GGGAGGGGGGTAAGGGGACCTGCTGGAGGGACACATCCCCCTCAGGGAGCTGGAGACGAATGACGATTGAGCTTAGCACCCGCAGCACGTCTCGCCTCCCCATGCTCTACAGGCATTAGCTAATGAGTGCTTTTGCCTGGCTACGTGGGGACAGGCTGGGTGCAGGGCAGTGAGGACTGCGGGACGTGCAGGGAGAAGGGGAGCGCTGCCTGCAGAAGCCCCCCCCTGCCTCCCTCCTCCCCACTAAAGAGATTGCTGGAACCAGTGTGTCCTTCCAGCTCACCTTCCCGCACCCCCAGGCTGGGGATTAGCAGCACTAATCCCTCCAGCAGCTCTGCATGAGGGCATCACCGCAGCTCTGGGCTGCATGCGAGGGCAGCGAGCCCTTGGTGCCAGATTTGGGGGGACTCTGGAGGCGCTCAAGACCCACCCAGGAGAGGAGCAGCCCCTCCACTGGGTACAGGCTACCTTCGGGGGTGCTGAGCCTGGCCCCTCGCTAGCAGAGGGGCTCTTGCTCTGCAGGCTCCAGAGGAAGTGGCGGATGTAGAGGAGGTGCCGGTAGATGTTGTCGTCCAACGTCTCCACCTCCAGGTCCACTTTGAAGCCCCCACTGGGCAGGATGATGGGCGGGTGGTTGTCAAAGGACTCCAGCGCCTCATCTGAAAAGCAGAAGGAGGGAATCTAGTGCTGGTCTCGGCTGCTCCCCGCTCCTGCTTCACAGACATGTGTGGTCTCCCAGCCAGGACTGGAGACATGGTGAGCTGCGAGGCAGCAGCATCCCTTGCTTGGAAATGCAGAAAGGGCCCTGAGCTCTTCTGAGTGTGCTTTGCATCCTCTGCAATACTCAAATTGCAGGGCCTGGTTATTACCAATCGCTGCAGTTACTACAGGAGCCCAGGGAGAAGGGAATTGCCTGCTCGGTTTTTATGTAAAAACCTTGGAGGCAGCAGCACCAAGCACAAAGCTGGGGTCTCACCGGGCTGGAAGGTGGCCGGGCTCTCCTCCTCACCAGGCTGCCACGCTGCGATGCAGCCCACATCCATCACCGCCTGGCACTGGCTCAGCACCCGGTGGAGCTGCGCAGGGCTCAGCGCCGGGAACTCAGCTCGCAGGGACGACCAGGTCATCTGAGCAGGGACACAGCGCAGGCAAATGGCAGAGGTGAGGAGCTGCTTTCTCCAGGGGAGCAGGGGCTCACGAGGGGGATAAGGAGATGCCGGGCAGGATGGAGAGATGGAGTGAGCCTGAGCATCCTCTCCTCAGTACTGTCCACCCACAGACCCCCTACCCAGGAAGGGGCAGCTGGTGATAGGCTGCAGAAGGGGCACATCCCAGCAGGGACCTCCAAACCCGAGGGGGTTTTCTCCTGCCCATGCCCACCCCAATGCCACAAGCCCCAGGCCAGGCACTCCTCACCTGGACCAGCTGGGACCCAGGCATGGCCAGCAGGTTGGCCACGCTGGTGAGTTTGGCGAAGAACTGCTGGGAGAGGTGCTCGAAGGCGGCGCCGCGCGAAAAAAACAGCCGCATACTGGCCCGCAGCTTCACCCCCTGCGACCAGTGGAAGCAGCCGAGAGAGGAGCCTGCGGAGCAGAGCATCCATCAGCATGGGTCTGGGAACAGCCCCCTGGCACCCCCATGCTTTGGCCAGAGCCCAGCTCCTGCCCCAGGGCCAGAACTGCAAAGTAAATCCAGTTTAATGTCCCCAGCACCCTACAGCTGTAACTCCTGGTGGGGGCTGCACCTTGCCTGGCACTAACAGCAGGCAAGGGGGCTGCTGTGTTAATGAGGGCTAACGAGCAGCTCACTTACAAAGCCGGCTGCAGTTTATTAATGAACTGCTCTCAGCCTCCTCTGCTCCTTGCAGGGGGTGAGGATGGGGTTAAACCCCTTCTGGGAATGGGGACCCTGGACACAGCAGCTGGGGCTGTCTGGCCTCCCTAAATGGCACTGAGACCTGCCCACCTCCCACTCCCTCCCTCCTGTACCCCCCAGTGTGGCACTGGGATGGACTGGGGGGTCCAGGCTGGGTGTCAAGGACTGACCCTTGTCCAGGAGCTGGTTGAAGAGCAGGGTGTTGGAGAAGAAGAAGAGGTAGGCGAACATCTGGGAGGTGATCTCGGGGTGCACTTCGTACTGGCGGAGCAGGTCCAGCACCGCCTGGTAGATGAGCACGACCCTGCGGAGCTCCTCGGGCAGCGGCGGGGACGCTCGCCAGCTCTCCCGGCACTCGTTTTGAAAGGGGTTGCACTCCAGCAGCGCAGGGAGCGACACGTACAGACACTGCAGGGAGAGCCACAAGTTCACCACAGACCAATTTTGTTTCTTTGGGTTTTTTTTTTTTGCATGAGCCAAACCTTTCTGACCCCCTCACCTCCGCAAGCCGAGCAAACCCCCCTGGTGCTGCTCCAGCAAGGGGCAGATCCTGCTCACCCCCTGCCTCAATGCGCTCCAGTGTTGTGCAAGTGTTTGAAAAAAAGAATAAAAATGAAGGCATCTGTTGTTCTTAGCAGTTGGAGGTGACAGCGTGGGACAGCTCAGCAAAAGGGAGCTGAGAATGGATCTGAACCAGGGCAGCAGTAAGCAGCTGGGCACAAGGGTGAAGGAAAAACTAGGATTGATAGGGACAACCTTTCCCTATTGCTTAAATAGGAGCGCAGCACCTAGCAGCCACCTCTGCTGAGGGTAAGGAGGAGGTGTAGGTGCTGGGGAGGAGGGCGCAGGAGCACCCCCTGCATCCCAGCAGGGCAGGCAGGGCCGTCCGGACACAGCAGCCTTTCTCCTGCCGCACACTGCCCGCTCTGTTCCCCTCTCCCAACGCCGCCCGGCTCTCGCAGTCCAGCGGCAACGGCCCAGGGGCCCCTTTCCATCGCGCCCTGAATCGTAGCATTATGCTGTGCCGGCCAGAGTCAAGCAGCTCTCCCCAAACGCCTCCCCTGAGCCGCTGCACTGCAGGCAGGGAAACGCGCTGCAGTAATTCAATACTTCTCCTGGGCCGTGACCAAAAATCGGGGCATGTCAGCCCAAAGGAAAACACCTCGGTACGATGCAACTGCCGACAAGTAAAAGCTTAAAAATAACCCCGAGAGCGCTGCTGGGGATGCTTGTGCTCATCCCATGGGATGCCGCCGCTCTCCCCAGGAGCACATACCTTGGAGATGTAGTAGACGCACTGCTGGAAGGTGTACATGATCACCTCCTCCAGCACCGTCATCGCCTCCTCGCTGGCCGTGATGGTGGAGGAGAACAGGGACTCCTTGGAGCCTACAGGAAGGAGAGGAGGATGGGGGAGCAAACCTGCACCACCAAGGCAGGCTGAGTTCACCCAAATCCCCGGGATGGGAGCGTATTCCTGCTGCAAAGTCCAGAAGGTTTCTGAGCCTGACTTAATCCCTTTTTCCCCTTTTCTTTTTGGCTGGCATTAACATAAGGTCCCCAGTGAGCGATTCTGCAGGGCTGTCTGAAAACCTCAGTGCCCCCACAGCAGCCAGGGGAGCAGAAAGTGACCACAACAGAACCTGGCCCCAAAACCCAGCAGCACCATGGCACGATGGGGGTTAAAGAAGCATCTCGGGGACACTGACCACTGCTTGCGACCGGGGATTAGAGAAGCAAAGTGGCTCTGGCCAGAGAAGCATGATGGGCGCTGGGCACAGCCCTACCTCTGACATCCAGCTCCTCCTCCATGCTCTGGATGTAGGTGGGCGATTTCTGCTGGATGAAGTAGAGGATCTCGATGGCGTTGGCCATCCAGAAGAGGATGTGCTGCAGGTCTGGGAGAAGATCCGTGATGGTGAAGCGGGACAGAGCGGCAGGATCCTGGCTGGGGAGACACAGGGGCTATTATGGCTGCTGCTCCTCGCATCCCCACTCAGGCTTTTGGGGAGAAAAACAGCCATCCTGTGGCAATGCCACAGAGCTTTTGCATCCCGTCACCTCCAAGCCCAGCACCCCCTTAGAAAGACCATTTGTAAGCAAAAATCTGGTTGTTCCTGTGGTGTGGGATGGCAAATGGGATCTTGTGGGGACCAGGCTGGCCAGGGGCCACCTGGACTTTGTGGGGTATCATTTTTGGGGGCATTCCCTCTAATACAGCTGAACTGCAGTAAATAGCAATGGCTGAAGAGTAGCTCTCCCAGAGAAATATGTGCTGCTCCTGCCAGCTCTGGACAGTGAAACCCAGCCCGTCTGTGCTGGGCTGTTCAAAAATAAAACAAAATAAATAAAAAGCATCTGGGAAGCTTCTCAACTG